CCTACTTAAGTCCGTGCGCTGCAACCCTAAAATCGCGAACTATAACATGGTTAGGAACGACAGGCTCACTGCCCGTTGTGGTGGTACCGTCATTTACTATAGAAAAGCCCTGCACTGCGTCTCACACGACCCCATGCGCTCGCTAACATCGAAGCATCAGTGTGCCGAATCTCACTGACGGGACACGCGCCGATCGTTATCGCGTCCGTTTATCTTCCACCGGATAAGATCGTTCTAGGCAGTGATATTGAGGCGCTGCTCGGCATGGGAAGCTCTGTCATTCTAGCGGGCGACCTAAATTGTAAGCATAGGTGTAACTCGCATATTACAACTCCTAACGGCAGACGCCTGGACGCCTTAGTTGATGATCTCGCTTTCAATATCGTCGCTCCGCTAACCCTGACTAAATAACTACCCACTAAATATCGCGCATCGGCCGGATATACTTGACAAAGCATTACTAAAAAACGTAACTGTGCGCATACATTCGATCGAAGTGGCTTCAAAATTAGACTCAGACCATCGTCCCGTCGTCGTGAAGATCGGTCGTGCTCCCGATTTCGTTCCTGTCACGAGAACTGTGGTGGATTGGCACACGCTGAATGTCAGCCTGGCTGAATCTGATCCACCATCCACCCGGACTTTATCCCGTCCCTATCAAGGCACTGCTGAAGCCATAGACATCGTAACGTCACATATCACCTCGACACTAGATAGGTAATCGAAGCAAGTCGTAGCGGACGACTTCCTTCAACGCTTCAAATAGCCCGACGATGTTAGAGAACTACTTAGAGCAAAGAACGCCTCGATCCGCGCCTACGTTAGGTATCCTACCGAGGAAAATTGTATTCAAATGCGTTCCCTACAACGCGACGTAAAGTCTCGTATCGCCGCAGTCCGTGATGCCAGATGGTCTGGTTTCTTAGAAGAACACGCGCCCTCCCAACGGTCTTACTACTGCTTAGCTCGTGCTCTCAAATCGGATACGGTAGTAACTATGCCCCCCTCATAGGCCCATCAGGCCGACTCGCGGCGTTCGATGATGACGAAAAAGCAGAGCTGCTAGCCATTGCAAACCCAGTGCACGCCCAGCACTCAATCCGCGGATCCTGTTCATTTAGAATTAGTAGACAGAGAGGTCGAACGCAGAGCCTCCTTGCCACCCTCGGACTTGTTACTACCCGTCACCCCGATAGAAGTTAAGGATCTAATCAAAGACCTACATTCTTGCAAGGCTCCCGGTTCAGACGGAATTTCTAAGCATGTTATTAAATCATGCTCATCATACGGGATTTTTGTCGAACCGCTCTTTTCGTTAACGAGTCGAGGGTTCTGTAAAAACTGAGATCTTAGATCTCATGTCTCGAGGCGGGTGGCGGTATTTACGTTGTAGTTTTTCATGGGCTCCGATAACCATTTAACACCAGGTAGGCCGTGAGCTCGATCCGCTCATCTAAGCAATAAAAAATGAAAAAAAATTGACCACAAAGACACTGATACTCCTTAAATTAAAAATCCGGCTCCGATGCTTAATAAGCGCTATTCATATTTTGAGTATTTTCATAAAAAATGATTTATACGCGATTTAGTTAAAAACTATTCTAACCTTGGAACAGAAATTGAATTTTATGTTTGTAATTTGAAGCTATAAAACTATATTACGTCTTTCCAGAATCAGTCTTTGACTTGTTTTTTTTTAGTTTGCTACACTGCTCGCTCAGTCGTAAATTTTTTTCTCATAAATGCGGATCATATACATCATCACTAAATTTTATTGTTTTTGACTGTTTGCGTCGATTTCTGTTATTGCTAGCCACATGGACACATATTTTCATTACAGTGAGAACTCAAAGTAGCACAAAAAAAGGTCATTATCATTTAATATCTAACCGGTCTCCGTGATTATCTCTTGATTACGTTCGTAAGTGTCATCACAAACAATAAATTATTTAATAAAAAATCATAATAGTCGTTTTACTGTGATTCAAGGTGAAGATTGCGATATTTTTTGAGTTACTTTAATCTTTGAAATTTTTTTAATGCAATCAATTTTGTAGGCGAAGTATGTTTTTTTTTTCTATAGTAGACTGTCGTAGAGTTGAGATATAAGTTCTAAGATCTTAGTATAGTTACAACGGCTGCCCCACCCTTCAAATTAAAACGCATTACTGCTTCATGGCAGAAATAGGCAGGGCGGTGGTACCTATCCGAGCGGACTTACAAGAGGTGCTACCACCAGTAAAAAGTGCGTGTACAGGGAAACACTTCGTAGATGATTTAACAAAGTCTATCCATCTTGTGGCATCCGCATCGTCCCATAAGGAACTTCGTTCCAAAAATCAAGTGTTGCTTGTTTGAAGACTTGTCTTATCATATTTAGTGCGTTCGTTATACAGTGGTTAAGGGTACGATAGGTAGTCAATTCGAGATTATATTAATTAACTCAAAACCTACTCGAAATTTGCTACACGATTAACTGTGTCAGAAGTGAAGTATTATTCAAACGTGAAATAAGACAATTTTTAATAACTATTTGCGAACTGAACTTGGTCACGACGTATCAGATAATTGAAACCAGTATCTCTAGATATGTGTTTTCCCTGTAGACTCCAAAACGACTGGACCGATTTCCATGAATTATTTTCATTTCGAGAAGGCGGCACGACATGAGAGCCCTCTTGTCGTGGCCAATGGAAACTACATACCCGATCCTGTAGACCGAATGGTAAACAGTCGACGTAGCCCAAAGCACGTTATTACGGATTCTCCCGATCCATTAACGGTGCTTTTAGACACCACAAGCACCGGTCACCGTCCTCGTCGAACCCGTCGCTTGCGACAAAGGGCTCGACGAGCGAATCAGCCCACTGAGTTTCTCGCCGGCTCTTCTCAGTGAGTCGCGTTTCCGATCCGGTGGTAGATTCTGCAAAGCACTGCTCTTGCTCTAGAGTTAGTGTTACCAACACTCCGGTTTGAGCCCCGGGAGCTTACCTACACACGTTAGGGTGAGGCTGAAATAGCCTCTCAAGGCTATCAGCATAGGTAGGAGAACAAAAAAAAGAATTATTAAGAAAATCTGCAGCTTGTAAAATCGACAATGTCTCGATGTCGCGACAAGAATACGGTGACTGTGAATAAGGTCCTTGAGAATGAGTACAGGGAACGGGTCTTGGTGGAAAGACGTTTGTAAATATGGAGGATATTAGAGGAGAGTGAAATATGGAAGATTTTATGCTTTAGACATGCTCAACATTTATTATATGCCGATGACACTAAAATCTATATGAAGGTTAATACAATTGAGGATTGCATTAAACTGCAGGAAGATCTAGACAAACTATCACTATATTACATAACTAACCGTATCACAGTCAATGTTGCAAAATGTGCACATATTCAATTCACTAGACGTAAGAATCCGATTGATTACAATTTTAAATTAAATAACGTAAGTCTGAATAAAGTTTATTCTGTAAAAGATTTGGGGGTTTATCTTGATTCAAAACTTACATTTAATAGTCACTTTGAATATATAGTTAATAAGGCTTACAAAAACTTAGGTTTCATAATAAGAGTAACGCGCGATTTCACTGACATTTCTTGCATAAAAGTGCTTTACTATGCTTATATCAGAAGTATTCTCGAATACTGCAGTACTGTTTGGAATCCACAATACGTGACGCATGAGCATTCCCTTGAGCGTCTCCAAATTAAATTTGTCAAATATTTGAATTTCAAAAGCAAATTAAAAATTGATGGCTACACTGAGTCATGCCAAAAACACAGCCTCATAACTCTGGCTGAGAGACGTGAGATGCAAGACATGGCTGTATTTCATGATATATGTTCTGGAAAGCTAGATTGTGTTGAATTGTCAAATAGAATACTCAACTTGAATGCCCCTGGTAAAAGAACTCGTCACACGCATCTTTTTCATATACCGTTGGAGCGCACTAACTACGCGGCTAATGATATGTCTATTAGATTACCAAAGACCTACAATAAGTTTTATTCAGATATTGATATCTTTACAACATCCAAAACTATGTTCAAAGCTGCAGTTCATAAGCTTAAGTTAAGTTAAGCTAAAGGTTTGTTATTGTTTGAATCTTTAAAATATTTACAAATTGAAAAATAATAATCTTTAAAGTATTTTGGTGTTCTACAATTAACAATCAACGTTCATATAATCAATTCGAGCGTCCATGTAAACCAACCACTACATTACACTCACACGCACTTACACACATCGACACAACACACAGATTCAAACTTATTCTGCAAGTTATCGTTCGACAAAGTTAATCTACCTATTTAACTGCCTTACCTTAGTTGAACTACCTGTGTTCATTAATTATGTTAAAATTTTTTGGAAACATAATGTGTTTCTTTAATTGGCTCATGTTTGGGAAAACATCCTCTGTACCCTGTGTCTAGTTAAATGCTGTTGAAACATTGTTTATTAAATAAATAAAATAAATAAATAAATAAATTTTATAGTAGAGTGCAGGACGACCTAAATTTATTTCAGTATCGTATTGAATTCCTCTGAGCTTATAGGTGCGAAGATCCACCAGTGCTTCTCGCTAAATTTTAAAACGACTCAAGAAAGCTGAAGAAAAGTATTTTTGCGCTATTACCCCTTCTGGTAGTAGCCCCCCTTAAGTAGATACCGGAATCCATAGGAATCAATAACGTTAACGCCGCTATCGCTCAAACCGCAACGCATTACTGCTGCACGGCAGAAATAGGCACAGTGGCGGTAGCTACCCGTGTGAGCTCAAAAGTCGGCTAAATAGTCACCAGAGCCCAAGGACATCGGCAACGCCAATTGCGCCACCAACCTTGAAAAATGAGTTCTAAATCTCAGTTTTTACAGTACGACGGCTGCCCCACTCTTTAAAACGCAACGCTTTGCTGCTTCATGCCAGAAATATGGCTCACAAGTCGCCTTAAAACCAGTAGTTTTGTCTGTGTCTCAAAAATTAAACCCTTGAATTGTTCTGTCAGTTTATTTATTAAGTACTACTATAAATTCCAAAACGCCGTTTTGTATTTGAGGGTCACGTTTCGAGGCTCGATTCAGAGTGTCTTAATTCATAATGCCCTTGACCCTAGAACAGAAATATGTCAAGAACTGAAAAAATATTTTTTTCCAATAATTCGTAACGAATTGTTTTTAATTGACGAAAATATACAAGAGAGCCCAAATGCCGGACTTTGTTCTGACCAAATATTGAATTCTATTTATGAGTGTTCTGGGCCAAATTTTAAAATACATTACCTTAGAGGCTGTTATACCATTTAAATAAAATACACAATGGCTTCATGGCAGCAATAAGTGGGTTTTTTTTTATTGCCCTTGTAGGCAGACGAGCATACGGCCCACCTGATGGTGAGTGGTTACAGATATTTGTGATACAGATTCTTGCGGGTTCACAATACGCTAAACAATTATCAGGGCTTAAGGAATAAATATTGTAATTAGTATCAGCCTAACTTGAGACATGATCGTCATCACAATTGTATTAGAATAAGCAAACTAACTGAAAAGTCCTTCGGGTATGAAGATATAACTCTAAGAAACCATTTAAGATAGTACCCATTAAATTTGTGTTTTGCTTATTTCGTTCAAATAGCAGAGCTGTAAAGAACTGTTTGTGATGAAAATTAAATCAGGGGGATTTAATTTTTCTCATCGCACCACGATACTAATTCATCAGCACTTCATCGTAACTTAATTTCCAGATATGTTTTGTTTCATGGTGTTTTCTAAGCGGTTCGGCATCTCTTTCTTCAAATGAGAGAGAAAGAAGGGAGCCCTCAGAGATAAATAGTCGGACAATGGTTGCTGACCTCCATCAACGATGTTGATGACATGCCATCAGATAAGTCCTGTGCTTAGACTGCCTTCGAAGGCAATCAGAAGTTTTAGAATATATTTGTTTAAACTAACAACAAAAAAACCTTACTTCCATATATTTTCAACATTTCTAATGACGTTATCAGATACGTATTTTGGTGCTATTCTTTTGGAAAATAGTAATGTTTGGCTCGCCGATCTCCGCATCACGTAATCCGTGCACTGGTTACTCTTGGTGCATTTTGATCCCTCCAGCAGCTCCTCAAGGTTATTTCTAAGTTGTACAAAAAATGTAAAAAAATTACATTAAAACTAATGGAACAATATCAGAGGAAGTTAATTTTTAGGCTACTGATATAGTCTGCAGATTATAATGTGTACATATTATTATATGTGTGCACAATGATACATATATGTACTCAATAAGGAAACAATCTTAAGCAATTCCAAACAAATGACCCTCCGTTTAAATGGAATATAATCTGTTATTGGAACCTCTGGGTCTGCGGAGGGACTTCGGTTCCCTCTGTATTTTGTACCGTATGTTCCATGGGGAGTGCTCTGAGGAATTGTTCGAGATGATACCGGCATCTCGTTTTTACCATCGCACCGCCCGCCACCGGAGTAGAATTCATCCATACTACCTGGAGCCACTGCGGTCATCCACAGTGCGATTCCAGAGGTCTTTTTTGCCACGTACCATCCGGCTATGGAATGAGCTCCCCTCCACGGTTTTTCCCGAGTGCTATGACATGTATTTCTTCAAACGAGGTTTGTGGAGAGTACTAAGCGGTAGGCAGCGGCTTGGCTCTGCCCCTGGCATTGCTGAAGTCTATGAGCGACGGTAACCACTCACCATCAGGTGGGCCGTATGCCGGTCTGCCTGCCAAGGCAATAAAAAAAACAGATAACAAGCCGAAGTCCATATTTATCGTAATGAGAATTATAGCGTTTTAGTGGAACTCTGAATTGGTACCCCTTGATTTGAAACTAAATCCCTTGTCCGTTTACTAATCAATCTCCCTTTAATTAAAAGAATAATTGTAAGAATAAGGTGAAAATTCAGGCCAAATTACAAGGTAAGAATGGTGCTACAGAACTGATGATGGTGTATTAACTGGAGTAGGTGCTTCCAATTAGCAGCTAGACCGACTATGATTCTACAAGATCCCCCGTCGTATGACGTTCCATGGTTAGGGTTATGGACATGGCTTCTAGGGCATAGAGAGAGATAGACGAGAGTTATTATAAAAAAAAATCTACACGGAACTTTACAAATTCAGATTGGTGGTAGGACCTCGTGTGAGTCCGCACGGGTAGGTACCACCACCCCGCCTATTTTTGCCGTGAAGCAGTAATGCTTTTCGGTTTGAAGGGTTGGGCAGCCGTTGTAACTATACTGGAGATCTTAGAACTTATATCTCAAGGTGGGTGGCGCATTCACGTTGTAGATGTTTATGGGCTCCAGTACCCACTTAACAACAGGTGAGCTGTGAGCTCGTCCACCCACTCAATCAATAAAAAAAAAATAAAAAAATAGCATTGGTGCATCACCAATCAGAAGATTAAACGCAGTTGAGTTTACAATCTATTGTATGCGTTAAGAGCAAGCAATATTCACCTTCTGGTCTCTATGGACTTCAAGATTCAAGAGACGCTGAAACTGAAGTAGGACTATAAGCTTGCCTAATTTTCGTGAAAACAAAAATCTATAATTATACTCACGAGAAAAACCAAAAATTGTATTTCTCTTCATTGAACTTTGACGACGTGCTATTTAAAGTTCTCTGTATTAGTGCGTAACAACCGCTACCCGATGCGTCTAAGGCTGCGAAATGTGTAAGTGTATATTTTTTTTTTAATTTTTTTATGTTATTTCATTGGTGGGTGGACGATCTTACGGCTCACCCGATGTTAATGTGTCGAACACAGGGTCACCCCGCGAATTACCGTGGTTGCCCCCGAGCCCCTAAAATAAATCGCCGCGTCGCCCGCCAAAACCGCCTCCGAGCTTCCGGCCCAGACATCAAAGCCTCGGCACCCTCTGCGTCGCAGGCTAAGCCAGCGTTCGTTCCGGCGGCGGTGCCCAGTGTCTCGGCCTGGGCAAAACCGCTGCCGTACACGAACACGGCTACAACTCCCTCCTCCGCGATTCGTCCCGCCCCCGCGACTCGTCCCTCTCCCGCGACTTGCCCTCCGACCGCGTCCGACAATCTCGCTTTAGCGATCGACTTCTTTCAGTCGATCAACTTTGAGCGCGTTAACGCTTTGGGCGACGCCATTCGCGCTGCCTCCACTGCACAACACTTTATCGCCGTTGTGCAGGAATACGCCGACGTATACGCGTCATTAAATACGTACGTCCTCCCCTCACTCCGCCGGTAATCAATGGCGTATATAAGTAGAATAAAGCCCCTATCCGTAACGATAGGATTTTTTAA